TCGGTGTAGTCAATTTCGGTTTCGGATGCCGATAAGGCTTTCAATTTACATATTAAAGTGAAATTCCAAACAGATATTTCTGTAAGTAACAGATAGAAAGCCAAATATCATGCAAATCACATAATAAACCCATAATTTATTTTATTCACTTAATTAGCATCCTTAACTTTTGATTAATGGCTAATTGTGGATCAGGGTTATTACAAGAGTGATCAAGATAGAGCTTAAAAAGAGGGAAAAGGAGTTACCCTTGAAGCTCAACAAAACTAGCAAGTTTTGGGAGCAAAAACCAACTCTTCAACCTCTGAAAATACCCTCCAAGAACCTCAGATCAATGATGGAGGTGTATGGCTATGAGGTGTGGTGCAATAGGTCAAGAACAATACACACTTTGAGCCAAAATATAGAGATATGGAGAGAGATATGTATTTTGCCTTCAACCAAATTCTGAACCTGTGCAAAGGAGAGGGAGGGCCTCTCTTATAAAGGTTTGAAGCTAAAGCTTCCTCAAGAAGCTAAAAGCTTGGATTCAAATCCTGCATACACATGTATGGAGGATACAGTCTGTGCCTTCTAGCTGGCATAGCTGGCATCCACACAATCTAACAAAACAGGAGGAAACCAGCCAACCAGAAAAGGTGGTCGGCTGTCCACTTTCCCTGGTCGGCCGACCAGGGCAAGTGGTCTCCCAGATAAAAAGTGGTCGGCCAAGAGTATTGGTGGTCTCCACACTGAAAGCAAGCCAATGGTGGGGTGGGAAACCATAAAATGTGGCCCAAAGACCAAGAAAACCAGTTTCCCGACCAGAAAACCGACTAGCGGGGAGAAAAGTGGTTTCCAAGGAGAAAGCTAGTCTCCCACCCTTGTACCACCTTCCGAACAAGGAAAACAAGGTTCGTGCCAAGAACGAACCAACACGGATGCAAAACGAGAGTTCTGGAGGCAAGACGCGTGGCCGGGGGCCTCGAAAACCGGCTGTTGAGCACAAAAAGTGGCATACGACCACAAAAGTGGTCTCCCGGACCACAACGTCCCTCTAGACAGAGGAAACAAGGTGTGATTCAAAAACTGTGCCAAACAGAGAATGTTAAGTGATCCCGAACCGAGGCACATGTCCGACAGCTCCGAAAATAAAAAAACTAGTCTCCAAATGGGAACAATGGCCTACGACAATGAAAAGTAGCCTACGGCCACTGAGAGATGGTCTACAAGACCTCTCCCTCCCTCCAGTAAGAGAAAACAAAACTTGGTCCGCGGACCGAGTCAAAGTACAAAGGGTCCCGAGGCTTGGAGGCAAGGCTCTTAGCCGAAACTTCCAAATCTCAGGACAAGCAGAACATGCACCATCACTGAGCGCTCAATCGATGTTGTCTGAGTCTTAAGGTCGGTCAAAAATGGGGTGTCTACAGTTGCCCCTCTTTGACAGAACTCGGAAGTCACAAGTGACGGGAGTGAATGTCAAAGCCCAGAGACGACCCATTTTTGACAAGGCCGAAGACTTAGACAAGCGTACAAAGTAAACAGAGATGTGCCCGCAGGCAGGGGGGCAAAATGCAAAGTGATGTGCAAGAAGCCGAACATAACTAATGATCATGCAAATGCAGCAAGCTGTAATGAAGCAAGTATTCGCAAATAGATGCAACAGTTTTAAGCAAGAATGCAAAGCAACAACTACATTTCATGCAGTTAAGAATGCGGAGGATTATTCAATCCCCGCCATGTCTCACACGGAGAAGATACGATACCTGCGCGATTCGTCTGGTCGCACCAGCCCCAATTGAACCGTACATACAATATCATGCCTGTAAAAGAGAGAAATTGCAACAAGTACAATATGCTACCAACATATATTTAATGTGATTCCAAAAGTTTGACACACGTAGTGCCGGTGAGTGAATGCATCGCAATGCAAGAGTGGAACTTGCGTGACAACGGATGCTCAAGCACAGAAGTATGTCAACATCAAGAAATGTTCATAAAAATGTAAGTATGCTCATGAGAATGCGAATCATGTGCATGATAGTGCAAAGCGAGCATAAGTCAGCGTGCCCGTTTGTTACGAAACAACGAGCAATGGAAACGCGTGTTTCGGCGAAGGCAACTCGATCACGGCCTCCAATCCGCTTCCCGGAATGGCTATAACTCATTCAAAAAGGATACACTTTGATTTTGATGAATAATGATGAGACACATGTCAGATCCCGAAGCTGAAGTTCCGGCGAATCATTTCGCGACAGAAAGTGTACTTTTCTTGAATTTTTTCAGGTCCCGGGAACTCCAATCTTCCTCAAAATTTGCAGGGAGCTAGGTGAGTCTGTGAGGGACATGGCCGGCCGTTTATCTTCCCAAGGGGAGGCCACCGACCACTTTTGCAAAAAGTAATTGGCTGGCCGGCCGGTTTTCCAAAAAGGAAATGGCTGGCCGGCTAGAAAAGGTGGCCGGCCGGCCATGTGCCCAAATCCGAGGGCATTTTGGTCTTTTCACCTCCTTTTTCATGCTCCTTCATCCCAAGACTTGGAGCCTATATAATGCAGCTGAGATTTCTTCCTCTCTTGCCTCCTACAACACTTTCTTCTCCAGATCTGAGTTCCATACGCGTTTTCCAACGCCCCACGCAAGTTGTTTTCGCAAAAATATTCAGTTTTAAACACTTTAAAGCGATTAAATTTCGGTTTTGGAGCTTCTTTTCTCATTTTCGCCACTTGAGGTAAGTTTGTCTCAATATTTGGAAGATTTTCTCGGGAGTTGACTTTTGTTGACTTTTTCATTTCCCGAGAGTTGACTTTTGTTGACTTTTTCCAATTTTGGCTCATTTTCGCTCATTTTTGCTCCTTTTGCAGATTCTTTGAAAATGGCGGGTAATTCTCCCCACGGCGGAGGCTTTCCAGGTGCCGGAGACGATTTTGATCCCATGACTCTACCCCCGAGGGTCCGCCCTTTTATTCCCGGGAGGTACAATCCGCCAGCACATGTCCTCCCTCGTGCCGTCTTCCGTCACTTCACTAGCTTTGACGAGCGAGCACCTGGGGATCTGTTTCTCCGAGAGCCAGAGCATCACCTCTCTCATGAGGCCCGAGAGGTATTTACTTCATTTTCTGCATTTTTCGTACATTTCCGCACCTTTGCCATGCTTGAACACGCAGTTTAGCTTATGACATAGTACTTTGCTTGCATCCTGAACACGTAGTTTAAACACCCGAATTTCTGAACACTTGGCTCATTAATTAATTGCGAACACACAGTACACATTAGTTAAGAGGTGAACACACGGTTCAAACACTGACTTGTCAAACACACAGCCCGAATTCGAAAGTGAACACACAGCCCAGATCGGAATAGTGAACACGCAGCCCACACTGATTGAAAGTTGAACACGCAACCCAAACTTTAAATTTTCTGAACACGCAGCCCAGATTAGAATGGTGAACACGCAACCCACACTGATAGAAAGTTGAACACGTAGCCCAAACTAGAATTTTCTGAACACGCAACCCAGATTAGAATTTGCATGTAGCTTATTTCACTTCATCGGCACACAGCCCATTTCATTCCATTGGCACGCAGCCCAGTTCATCTCATTGGCACACAGCCCATTCATTTCGTTATTGACACATGTATTCATTCTGAATGCAGGTTGGTTCTCGTAGTGTACGGGGATACGGTTCCACCGCCGCGCGGGACTGGTACGCTGAGCTTCCGGAGGGTGTCCGAGATTTGGTAGACTTGGCAGGGTTCGGGCCCTTCTGCGTTGGATTGTCATGTTGTTCCGCCAGGAGGACACTGATGGAAGCATTGGTAGAGAGATGGTGGGACACCACCAACTCCTTTCATTTCTCTGCCACCGGAGACATGACCATGACGCCTCTAGACTTCGCTGTGTTGACTGGCTTGGACATAGGAGGTTGGCCCATCCCCTATGATGAGGATATGGGCGAGTGGGAGGCCGCTTGGATGTATCTATTGGGGGCTCGCCCGCCTGTTGACAGGGTTTCTGGGAGAGTCCGATATACTTGGTTCTCTTTCCACTTCCAGCGGGCGGAGATGGTGCCCGAGACTCCTGAGGAGACGGAGCAGTACGCCCGTGGTTTCCTTATGTTCCTCTTCGGGACTACTCTGTTCGCCGATAGAGGGAACACAGTCGGGCTATACCTGCTGAGCGCTCTGGTTGACCTATCACAGGTCAGTCGATATAACTGGGGTGGCGCCGGCCTGGCTACCATTTACTTTTATATGAGCGCGACCTCCCGCGGGCAGGGAGATTTACTTGGCGGCTACTGGAGAGCTTGGGAGGTACTTTTCTGTCTCCTTGATTTACATTTCTGCTCTTCATTACTTGTACATTGCACACACAGCGCACTTTTACAGTCTGTATTTTGCTCTCAGCATTTCGTACTTACATTCTGCACTGCTTTTCTCAGCTATGGGTCTATGTATACTTCCCAGCATTAGCCCCAGAGTTGGAGGTGGCAGGGCTTCCCATGACCCCATACTCACTAGTGTTCGAGGGCCCGCACCGGCCGAGACCCCGAGAGACCCTCATTTACTTGCGACGGTATTTTGACACTGTGCGGCATTCGGAGGTACTTCAGAACTTTCAGTTCCCTTCATTTTCATCTTTGATTTGCTCTGTATATTCCCAATTTCTGATTGGTTTATGTATTTATCATCCGCAGATCTCATGGCAGCCTTGGGCGCCCCTGGGTGATGGTCTCCGACTTCAGTATACCGGAGGGTCAGACACCTCCCAGTATAGGGTCCTGCTCGAAGGGCCGGTTGGCAGGGCATGGTTCCTGGGGGAACGCTTTCTGCGTCAGGTATGGGGGTATCTTTCTCAGGATCCTCCCGCAGTACCCCCAGTCAGTATGTGGACTGCTGACATGCTCTCTTTCTCAGAGGTAGTCGGCGCTATGCTGGGTAGCGATGCTTTACTATATCTTGAGGAGGGGGACTATGCCACTTACCGTCACATATATTTGATGCCTCCATTGACGGGAGCTCGCACCCCGATGACGAGGGCTGCTGGTGTGTGCCACTTACCGTCACATATATTTGATGCCTCCATTGACGGGAGCTCGTATCCCGATGATGAGGCCTGCCGGTATGTCATCTTCGGGCCAGGCTCAGGCTCGGGCTGCAGATGCCCCTTCTACTAGCAGGGCTGGTACATCTAGAGGCGGGAGTAGACCGGTTCCTCCGACTCCGTCGGCTTATCCTCATCCTGGATGGCCAGATATGCCCACTGAGCTGATGGCATGGCAGTATGGGGCGATCTCTCCGACCCCGATCCCACTAGAGCCTCCGATGCCCAGTGATCGATACGCTATTGATCCTGACTCACCGCTGGTATGCTCCACTATTTTTTCATTCATCATTCAGATGTTTAGATATTCTTGTTCACTGATGATTATGAGCTCATTTTTGCAGCCTGCGCGAGGGTACATGGAGGAGGTGGTTGGACTGGTGGCCACACTCGAGGGCATGGTCCTGCGTAGGGAGGCACAGTTGTCTGTGGCGGGCATTCAGGTACCCATCAGTTTTCTGGCATTTATCATACTTCTGATGACATGCTGATTTCTACTGCATCGATAGACTACTTGTGTAGAGCACATCTGAGACACACCCCACTTGTACACTGCATTTACATGCACCCACTTCATGTAGCCTTTGCTTGTATCTGCATCTGATGTAGATATTTGGACTGATGTATTTGAATTGAACTCTTTGTTTTCAGATGCCTTCATGGTCCGGTCAGCCGCAGGCCAGGCCACCTGGGCCTCCTTGGGGAGCTGGGCCATCTGGGCCTTTTCAGGGGGCGGGGACATCCCGGCCTTCCCGAGGATCCGGGCCATCTAGGCCTTTTTGAGGAGCTCGAGGGGGGCCTGTCCGCAGACACAGGGCTCACGTTGTGGAGGTGGAGCCTGATGAGGAGGAGGAGGATGCTGAGGAGGAGGAGGAGGCTACCGA